ATCATTTAGTTTAATTATTATTTTTTCAGGTATTTAATTGTCTCATCGTAAGCGCCTTATTAAAATATGTCAATTATTGATTCATTTATATATTGTACTAGCTATACCCGGTATGCTTTGCTACCCTAAGAGCAAAACCCCCACTTACACATGGGAGATGCCACTCAAATTATTGCAAGTTCTCCAATTTTTCCGAACGCTAATAAAGATTTTAATGTAAGTTATGAAAAATGTATATAATATTGTATTGTATTTAATTCATATGGCAGAGGCCAATCCCCCATTGAAAGTCCGCCCATTTTTCTCTAAATGTTCACAAATGAATGTCAAAGTTCTTCATGTAAAATTTTAAGATTCTAGCTTCTACAGTATCTCAGATATACAAATTTTTCTATATACAGTGATGTTCCTCTTCTTTCGAAGTTTCTTTTTACTTAAAATCACTCCAATGAAGAATTGAGTTGGAAAAACTAACTGAAATTTTGTATTGATCTGCTATGAATATAATTTTTGTAATAATTTATGTTATATATCGATTTCAATTTGAAAATTGTCTACAAATTGTTAAATTTTTATATTTTTCAAACTAGCTCTATTTTTTGTCACACCATTTTATATAGCCTAATTTAAAATTTCATTAAAATTACGAATAGCGATGCGTAAATTATTGCAAAAATAATGCTATTATTTTAAAAACAGATAAATAAAACATTTCAGTTAGTTTTTCCAACTCTATTCGTTGTAGGAGAGATTTTAAGTGTAGACTTTGAACGTGATGGTGGCTCTATTTCATCGAACATCACTGTAATTCATATGGAGGTTCCAAGCCACCCCCTGATGAAAGTCCGAAAGTTCTATTAGTTTCTTAGATAACATATTTTGTTTAATTCATATGGGATGTGCCGCTCCCCCCATTGGTAGTCCGCCAATGTATTACCCAAAATATTTACATGAATGCTAAAGTTCTTCGTGAATAATTTGAAGCTTTTAACTCTAATAGTTTCTAAGATAAACGAATTTGTGTATTTAATTAATATGGGAGGTACCACGCCCCTTGCTGCTAGTCCACCCACTTTTTATCCTAACTAATCATATTGAGAATTATGTTGCTCCGACCAAATTTGAGGGCTCTAACTGTTACATTTTCCGAGATATACTGATTTGATATTTTCTTAATATGGAAGGTGCCACGTCCACTATAGTCATTCCGCCCATTTTGTCCGAAAATATTCTTATGGATGTCAAAGTTGTCCGTGCAAAATTTGAGGACTCTAATTGTACTAGTTTCCAAGATATATGACTTTTAATAGTTATTTAATAAGTAGGCGTGGCACCTTGCCTACTTGAAATTTTAAAATAAAAAGTAGCCTATAGTTCCTTCCACATATACAGGGATAAGGTTTTTTCAATTATTTAGTTTGACAGTTAAGTTGAAGACGGGTGAAGAACAAAAACTTTTAAAATCTCTTTATTCTTTTATTATTTACGGAAGTTTGCATTCGATTACTGATGCTGCCTTAAGTAAATTTAACTTGAATAAGTTCCTCTTAAAATTAACTGCAAGAAACTTTTTCATAAATAATTAGTAAACATTTAAACAACTTATTATTTAGCTTTCAAAGGTAAAAGTTGTTTATGAAACATTAATCTATGATTTTAAAAAATATAAAGTTTATGAGTCATAAATACAAAAAATACTAGGAAATGGGGAGTAGAGTAGTTGTTTAATGGTTTAACGAACAATTTAAAAATAACCTTACGAAAATTATTTACTATCTTGATAGTAAATCGCTTTTTGCTCAATACTACACGTTTCTGCTTTTTTTGCTTACTGGCCATGCAGCGCAAGCCTCCAGGGTTAATACGTCACATAAAAATAATAAAATTTGAAATCAATAAAATCTATAATTATAAAAAAAAACAAATTTCAATAAAAACTAACACATGCAATACAGTAATTTTTGGTTAGTTTAATGTTTAAAGTGGCACGTATGCCCAGTAAAACAATATAACCAAACCAAACCCAAAAAGACAAATATTAAACGCAACTTTTACACTTCCTTGCCCTCACTAAATAAGCCACCACCAATCGATAAACAACACGCGCTTAACAAATTTTTATTTTTTCTATAATATAGACACGTTTAAATATTTCGGTTTTCATTTCTTCTCACACTCTTCATCTGTTGTTCTAAGCATACGTTTGCCCTTGACGGTGTCCTTTTTGTACTTGCTCTCTTTGGTAGAATCTTTAGCGGTCATTAATGCTAGTGTAGTATGGCAGGCATAAAAGCCCATACAACGTACAAAAAAAAATGAACAAAAAAGCTGAATGAGTGAGTTCTCCACATGTCTAAATGGTTGTTGTATAACATTTTTCAAATTAAGGAATTAAAAAAAAAAGGATTTTTTACTCACTTCCAAGAGAGTTTAAAAATCATAAATTTTCAAATAAAACACAAAGCTTCCTTTGTTGGAAACTTATATAAAAAAGAGAGCCATCAGCATATGTATACTAGGTATACTCTATATAACAGTATAGCACAGTTCCAAAGAGTATATGTATGTGGATTAAAAAACTTAAACTAAAAGTGGGCTCGTCTACAATAACAACAAAGGCAGTGGATACATAAAATACTAGTATGTACATGATTCCATATTAAGACACCAAGCAAAGAGAATGTTCTCTATGTACATACATATGTATGAATAATGTACATTTAAAGGAATTTTTTTATATATAAAAATAAAATGTACTAGCGCGTAGGTAGCCAAGTCATACCTTAATATATTTGTCTGTAGGTGTGTGTAAACTTGTTTGTTTTTTGTTGCTCTATTCTTGTTTTGGGGGTAAAGTAAGGAGGCCAGTCAATGTCACCCTGTCAGTATACGAAAAGAAGTGATGCAAAACTTTTGGATTATTGCGAATATTTTTTTCTTTTCAGTATTTTTTCTTTTGTATCTGGGTTTTTTTTTTGTTTGTGGTTCATGTTGTTAATATTTGTACTGTTGCTTCTTCTTTTTCCCTGTACTTCTTGCGTATGCCTCTTTAGTCATGTACTTGTTTTTATCCCATTTTTTTATTATTTTTGTTTGAATTTTTTTTCATTCATTATGAAATTAAATATTTGTTATTGAAATTAAATTGTTTGCTTTATTTCAATAAATATTTTTAAATTGTTGTTATTTCGTAAACACAATAGTGGTCAATTATATAGTGGAAATTTTCATGAAATTCGTAATTCATCAATTTTTAATTAAATGTTTTAATTTTATTTGCCACCATTGTCGGCGTTATGTACTTTGTTGCCTAAATTAAAATATAAACATTTCAAGAAAAAAAAAATAAATTAAGACAGCGACAGCTGTTTTTTATAGTTTCTGGCAAATTGTATGACTTTTCACTTGTATTTATAACTTATTTAGTAATTTGACTTTATAACGATGTTTGTTATAAATTCTTAATGTTATTAAATTGTACAACAAATATACATATTTAATTATGAATTTGGTAAATAAAGGTTTACTAAAAAAAACAAGAAACGATGACATTTGAAGGTCGTTTTATTGTTTTAACATGATCACTTTTTAACGGGGGTTTGTTTTAATTTTAAGAAATAGTTTTTTTGTAGCGAAAAATTTACTTTTTGTTAAAAGTTCATAAATATCTAGATAAAAAAAGATTTTTGATTAAAAATCTATATTTTAGTGAAGAAGTAAAAAACTTTATTTAAATATTTGGAGAAAAAAATATTTTAGATAAATTTTGATTTTTGAGTAAAAAAAAATTGTATACAAATTTTATATTTTTTTGTGAAAAAAAATAAAATTGTGAAAAGTAAATTCTGAAATGAACAGTGAAAAATTTGGCTTTGCTGGATCCTATCTAAAGCTTCACCATGTTTTTTTTAGTTTTATAATTTTTTTATTAAAAAAATATAATTTAATTACTTAAAATTCTTATTTATAAATTTTTTTTTAACTTTTACACAAAAAACATCAAATTTCTGTGCATAAAGTTTATGATATGAGTAAACACACAAAAAAAAAAAACAAGAAATTATAGTCACACAAAGCCGACCATATGGATACCCTACTCTCATAAATATGATTTATTTTTCATAAAAAGGATTTTTTGTACAATTTTACCTTACTATAGTTCCGATATAGTAAAGCGATTTATTGACGAAAAACTAAAAAAGGCTTTCTTTAGGGGGCTTGGGGCAAACATGAATCGATCCGCAAAAAATTATGTTTCCATACAAGTGTTTATAAGGGAATTGTAGACATTCATGTAAATTTCTGTATAGGCGCTAGAATCAAATGACCATTACGAAAATCCGTAGTCATCAAGATTGTTATACTAGTATGTATGTTTAAAATAGTTGAAAGTAGGTCTGAAAAGACTTATTCGGGGGGCTCCGTTATATGTGGAATATGTGAAGGTTTGCACCATAAAGAGGTGCAACTCCACTCTGACAACAGAAGGTCCCTTCGTAGAGTGTGTGAAGACCCAAAGAGAAACAAAACACTAAAAAGAACAGGCCGATTCCTAAGTTGGTTTCAAAGTGGAAGTTTTACCGAATCGATTAGCAATGGAAGGGACAGTGAAGGGATATAAAACTCCCTTTAAAATCCGGTCGAATCCAGGAGAACAAATAGGTCAATTTTAACCATTTGCAATAGATTAGTCCTTAGGATAAAATAGTAATTTGTGTCAAATTTCGTAAAATGACCTTTTTTATTTTAAGTAAAATAAAAAAATCGATCATGTAATCATGTGTACCAAGAAACAATTTTCCAATTAAAGGAATACATTTATCTTATTGGATTTTCTTCTGTTTCTTTAAGCTCTATTCCTTTTGAGTTACCATCAGTATTACAAGACTTAAGCGATGCGTATAAAGTAACAAAACATTTCATCCAAATAAATTATAAATTTAATACATACATGTTCTAATATATGTTTTCTTTATTATCCTCTAGTACATGAAGATTACCTTTACTAGTTTCTTGCTCCTCATAAAAACTACGACTACCCGTAGGATAATTATCTGCTTCTTCGGATATCTCAATGTCAACTCCTAAATCAACTAATAATACATCAATATCAGAACACTTCTTGCGGGCTGTTTCAACGGAGGAGTGTATATTTTCCATGTAACTAAGAAATTCTTGACCGTCCACAAGGGAATCCTTGAGTATGCAATGAAGATCTTGTATAATATCATATTCATTATTTTTGTGATGATAATCGTAGTTGTTGACACAAAATTGTGTATCACGCTGAAGGTCGTCTAGTTTTTCTTTTAGTAATTTTATGGTGTCGTTAAAGGAAGACATAATAACTGAAATATAATAAGTTAAATTCAAATAATTAAAAATTTAAAGTGGAAATTTTCTTTAATTACAATTAAATTACAAACTTTTGAGTGCTTTTTTTGTCTTGTTTTGAGCGGTTAATTTGACATTTTAAAATGGATGGCATTTGGAAAAAGTGCTGCCAAGTTTGCAAGCATTGTTTTTTTTTTGCAACTGGCAATACATAGAAAACAAAAGTGCTGCTAACTATAATTACATTAAAATCATTCACAATCAGTTCGTATTAGGGATGCCAATCGGGACTGATATTTAGAAATCCCGGGATTCGGGATTTTTAAATAAATCCCGGAATCCCGATATCGGGATCCCGGGATTCCAAAATCCCGAAAAATATAAAAAAAATTCAAAAAAATCTTAATAATTCACCGACAAAAATAACATTTTCTATTTCATATTGCAATATGAATACACTTAGAAGGTGTTTACTTTCCAATAAGCATTTTGTGAAAAGAAAAACAAATTAATTCAAAGTACTTATAATAAAAATCTTTCCATCCCAGGTACTGAATAGTAGAATAAAAACCTACTTTTGAGCAAAAGCTTCTTATATCTTATAAATATAAAATAATACCCATGATATCCAAATTTACAATGGTTTCCAAATTTACAATTTGATGAAACCTAATATTTAGATAGTATGCGTAATGAGGATCCATACGAGGCTACATAGAGCTCCTGTACTGCACCTATGTACTCATGAGACCATTCGTCTTGAGATGAATATCGGATATATGGTTTTTAATGGTCAGTAGAGAAATAGTAATTCCATAGTAATTCCAGCTTTTGCCGTGTTCTCTAACCCAAATAAGGGAATTATCATCTCGCCATCTTATTGACAGGTTGACTTCCATTATAGATTCTAATACACCCATTAGATATCCGATTATTGCCCTTTTTATACCCTATACCACCTTAGTGGGGAAGGTATATTGGGTATCTTCGGAGTATTGCTTTTGTTTTATACTGTCCTTAAATACCCTGATGAATTTTGAAGATATCGGGCTTCTTCTCATTTCGCTTAAAAAGAGAAGTGCCGTAATGAAATTCAGCATAAATAAATTTTATGTAACCGTAAATTCTTCCTCCAAATTTTATGAGGATCGACTCATGTGAAGGCTTCCCCCAAGCATATTTCAGAAAATAGTTTTTTAACAATAAATTGCTAAAATATATCGGAGGCGAGGTATAAATCAACTTAAATGATTTATTATGAAAACTAAATCACATTTTACTCTCATAACTGGTGCAGGGGGTTATATGGTCGTCCTCGCCCGCCAATAATTTCTTACTTGTTATTTTTATATATCCGATAGTATCTATGCCTATTTGTTGCCCTTTTTATTTTTGATATTTCAGCTTGTAAGTTAGTATAGTCATCTTAAGTCCAAAAACTTTTAAAATTCTCTTATTTAATAGTTTATAATGTATAAAATAGCGGAAAACACTTAAAAATTCGGGATTTTCAAATCCCCAAATTTCCCGGTATTTCAGTTTTTAAAATCCCGGTTTTCGGTACTTTCAAATCCCGAAAATCCCGGGATTTTCGGGAATCGGGAATTCCCGTTTGGCATGCCTAGTTCGTATAAAATTTTGTATTTAAATTAGTTTTACTTTATAACTGCTTTAATATACTTTTGTTTTAGAAACAATTTTCTGAAGACTTTAAATGTCTACAGGATAGAAATCTTGATTCAACCACAATCATTGGTCCACAAACATCAAAGATACGATTTAAATTAAAAAACCTTGATTGTTCCTATATTTTTCAAACATATTTCAGATGTTAAGTTTTGGAAAAGAGAGATTTCGAAGACCTTTCAAAGAAGGAATTACATATCGTTACCTGAAATGCAAACGGCCCTAACTAACCAAAAATTCAAAATCGATTTTATTGGTGATTCTAATGCATTGCATCAAAACAAATGTCCACACCGAAAATTGGACTCCTCCGACCATAATTATCGATTTTATTGACAGAAAACAAAAGGCCCTATCTACAAAAACATTTAAATATTAAAGGTAAAAAGTCCAATTTATCCATTTTTTTATACGCCATTGTCAGCTATCATAACAAATGATAGGTTTCACTATTAAACAATTTGTTTATTTACTACAAATAAATAGCGTTGATAGAAACAAACTTTTCAATTTAAATAGTTTTTTGCTTCTCCTGTAAAATTTTAAAAATCTTAGATAGGGCCGTTTGCGTTTTAGGCGACGATATGTACGAATTTTTATGTTTTTGAATTTTATATAAATATATGACAAAAATATAAAAATTCACCCTCATTTAACATAGCAGAATATTGCTTTTTTATTGTTGTATTAAATCCCGAATGGATAACAATTTCGAATATCCTGATTTTTAAAATTCGGATATGGTTTTTATTTAAAATATCGTTCAAAATTAAAAAGGCAGCTAAAAATTTAGCCGGCTTAAATCGATTCTAAGCCGCCGCCGACATTTTTAGAGTAAGCCGTCGCTCTTGTTAATGTTAGTCGGCACAGGTCTGTGAGATCAATACTTTGTGGAAAAAATCATTAGAACAAAAATCAGAAGACTCTTAAATTTTTTCAATTAATTTGTCATAAATTGGAACTTTGTAAATTTTAATTAAATTAATATTGAAAAGTGTCAGTAAAAAGTGTTTTTCTTTGAAAGAAAAATAAAAAACACGAGGAATTCCAAAAGCAATTTCCTACTGAAATCGTAAAAACAAATACAGAAAAAAATCAACATGGCTGCCCCATTTAATCTAGAGGATTTGGCCAAATTAAAATCTTTTGTGGAATTTGTTGCAGCAAATCCTGCTATTTTGAATCTACCACAATTGGATTTCTTAAAAAAACTTATTGAACAATTGGGTGGTAAAGTGCCCGAGGGCACATTCCAAATGCCGGCCGGAGCGTAAGTTTCTGTTCTAGTAGACATAAAATGCACTGCGTATGTACACATACACACGCACATTAATACATATCAATGGTAAAATATAGACACCACCTAACTAATATATATTTTCGCACATGCGATAATAATGCCAATCATCGTCCACTTTATACAGAAATCGATTGGCATTATTATCTTATATTCGAAAAAACTTGTTTGTTACATGGTATCAATGTTTTACAGACGATTAACAATACAGTGGTTAATGGGTGTGTGTTTGTGTGATGAGAAATTGATTTTAAAATTTATCTTATTTGTTTTTTGTTTGTTTCCATGATTTAGTAAATGTCCCTTTGGTGGTGATGTGAAATCTGAAAATAAACCTACAACTGCTTCTGCTGAAGCCGAGGTAGATGAAGAAGAAATTCCCGAAATGGAAGCAGAATCTGAAGAGTCCGAAGTTGAATTAGATATGGAAGGTATGTTGAAAATTTGTACTTAAGTCTAGCATTAGGGAAAAACTTTGTTTTGATATTGGTTCTAGTTAAAATGACAAAACACCTATCTATTTAGTTTATTGATAAAGTGGGGAATGATGATTTAAAAATTGAAAGAAGAAAATGTTTCCTTGAAATATAATTTTATATCATATTTTTTAATGCTTTTACGTTTTGCTATAGTAGTTGCTTTGCTTCTTTTAAGCCATTGATTTAGTGTGGCTTCATAACGCATAATTCATATGTACTAGTATGTATAACTTGTAGGTTGTTGTACATTTTTTAATTGCAAATGTATTTAAATACATATGCGTAAATAATTGTTTCCTATCGAGATCTTATGCATTAATATTGCTCAAATTTTAAAATGGCTTTAATGTATATTTTCCAGATTTTATATATTAATTTATGATTAAGATACTTATTACAATTATTGGTCATCTGAATCGAAGTCCTATTCAACTGCCTTTAAACTTATTCGCTGTTAACGTATTAAGTTTATGTTAAATGTTTATAAAGCATTTAAGGTTAAAAAATCTAAACTTAAATTCGAGTTTTCAAACACGTTTTATTAAATCATATTATACATATTGAAAATTCTTTAATTCGTTAATTCAGTTAACAAAATTACAAGACTAACAAATTTAAAAAGTAAAGAGTAAGAGTAAAGAATTGCCAAGTTGATATGGTTTCTCTACTTTGGTAATATAGTTATTTTTCTTAAAGAACGATTATAAACAAAAACACATTCACAATTTTTTATTTTATGAAGTTTGAAATATTTTCTGCTCCATAAGACTTGTTTAAATAAATATTTAATGAAAACATTAAAACGGTTATTATTTGCGGTAATTATTTTTGTTAAAACAAATAAGTTAATTAGATATTATTTGCGGATAATCTGATTTTCGTGATAGATTTCTACATTATTTAAAAAATGCTTGTTATAACTCATTATCTTTGTATTAACAAAAATGTTAAGGCTGCGTTTTACAAGTCTCACTAAGGGAAGTTTCGCTTAAGTTTTGAAATTTGTATGAAATTTTCAAACCTAAATATAATATTTTCCCTTATGTGTGAACTATAAAACTAGCTCTAAATAGAATAACATGATACAAATTGAATCTAAAATTTCTCTTAAATTTTAAAATCAATTTAAAAATTAAAAAAAAAAAAAACACACATTTTCCCAATGTATGAAACTTATTATAAAAAGTAATAAAAATTAATCAAAGTGAGGTGAAGTGATTAATTAATAAGAATTAAGGGAAAGAAAGGAATTCAATTAATAAGAACAAAAAATTTGTAATAATTATACAAAAGAAAAATATACAAACTAATTAGTTTTTATTGCAATAAATTATTAAATCATAAAAAAAAACAAAATAAAAAGATCAAAACTATTTGCAATTATAAATATCTCCGAAATTTTGATAATGTGCTTTTTGCCATATGCTTGCAGCCAACAACATGACTGTATTAGAACCGAATATACTATATCTGGATGAGAAGCCGCCAAAAATTGTTAAAACAAAGAAACAAAAAACAAGTAGAAAATCCCCTAAAAAAAAGCATTCAAGCAAAGTGAAAACCAAACAAAAACATTCCACAAATCCCAGAAAACGATCAGGAAAAAATAATCAAGACAATGTTATTAAAAAAGAATTTTGTGGATATGAAGAACAGGAAGATAAAATGGAAAATAATGATCCAGATGATCCTTTGTATACTGCAAAATTGGAAATAAAATGTGAACTGGGCGATGGAAATCAAAATGAGACCATCGAATTTAATTGTGATGCCGAGGAACAAGATGATTTTGATAATGATGACGATCAAGATCAAGATTATAAATATGAAGATAAAGCGCTTGGGAATAAATGGCGAAGTGATGATGATGATGATGATGATGAGGAGGAGGAAGATGAGGATGATGATGATTACGATGACAATGACGAGAATGAAGATGAACCTTTGATTGTGCTTGCTCGTCGTAAAGGTAGACCTCGTAAGAAACTACCAGAACCGGATGATGAAAAAATCAAAGCTCCACGCGACGTTGTGTGTCGAGAAATATGTAAACAACGATGTACAGAAAAATTTACCGATCAAGAGCGAAAGGATATTTGTGATTATTATTGGAATCTAAACAAAGATGATAGATTGGTCTTTATACGAAAACATATAAGAGCCAGGCGTTTGACCCGAATGATACGGGTAAACGCGAATAGAATTCGTGGCAACAACTGTGTTTATTATCTCAAGACATATAAAATTGGCTGTGAAGATACTGCTCCGGAAAGCAGTGCTGGTTTTATACGTGTTTGTCGTAAATTCTTTGAGGCCACTCTATGCACCACAAATCATTTTATTAAAAAGGCTAATGATGGAACCGTAATGGAAATTGAAAAAGATTTACATCTACTCAATCAAATGTGGGCAGCTAGAAAAAAAGAAAAAGAGGAGAACAAAGAACCTCAACAAATTTTAGATCCAGAAACAGGCAATTTAATTACTCTGGATTCAAAAACAAATAAAGCCCAAAAACCTAAAGAAAAAACTTCTTCCGAAAATAAAACTGAAAATAAACGCCAGCGGCGTAAACCCGGAGATCCAGAGCCTGAACATTTTCCAAAACCGATCAAATGCGCTTTGCGCTGCATACACAAATGTCACACGAAGTTTACAGAGGTAGAACGAAAACAAATTTGCGACTTTTTCTGGTCTATGGATTATAAAAGACGTAAAGATTTCATTTTAGCCAATATGGAAATCAAAGATATTGAAACTCAAACGACTCCTGATTTCCGTAAAACAGATCGCCCGCCTCGTTCGTATCAAACGCGTTTTTATATGCGTTCTGGTGGCATGCGGGGTGAAAACTTGAGGGTGTGCAAAGACTTTTATGCCAAAACCTTGTGTATTAATCGTTATTTTATTAAGAATGCCATAGAGTTTGCGGATAAAACAACTGGCTATTACACAGGTAGCGACAGACGCGGTGCTCACATGTTTTGCAATAAAGTATCCGAAGCACGCAGAAAACCCGTATTGGAACACATCGACTCATACCCATTCTGGATACCAAACAAAAAATCCAAAACCAAATATCTACATTATTCATTGACCATAAAGAAAATGCACGAAGACTACAAAGAAAAGTGTATTGCCGAAAATAAAGAGTTTGTCAATTTGCATTACTATTACAAAACGTTCCATATCCATTCTCCTCATCTATTGTTCCTAGCGAATCCACATCCTAAAAAGGGTGGTGGTTTTCTCAAAGCTAATCCCAATATATCACATTACACAGGTGAAGAACCTGGTGGATGTTGGGTTGATAGCAAAGGCAATAAACTCGATTTACGATCAATTAATCCAGCAAAACCCTTAGATTCTATTCAACATAATACTTCTGAAGATATTTCGCAAAATACTACTTTTGCATCGGGAAGTACTGATGCTCATAATGTAGTAAATGTTCTAAATCCCGCTCCGTTCGTACCCCTTAAATCAACAGTAAATCAAGCTTCCTCACTTGCAGTAGTAAGACCAGATTTAAATCCGGCTCTGTATGCAAATTTTACTCAAGATCCTATAAACATGTTTAGAATGTTTTAGTTTAATTTCGTGTTTAATAAATTTTAAGATGCTTTTTTGTAAAATAAAAAAAAAAATAATTAGTTATTTATATAGACATTTGGAGTCTGAGAAAGGTAAAAAGAATGATTTTAAATTTTAATTTATGTACACATTTGTATTTTTGACGTCTAAGTCATTTAAAGCTCTTGGATATATAAAATGTAGTTGTAAATATAAGGAGATATAAGGTTTAAACTTAAATTAGTTTTATTTATTTAAAATGAAAAATTATTAAAGTGCGAAAATTATACGTTATGTTGTTCTATGCAACGGGTGTTAAATGGGGGAAAGTAAAAGAATTTATTAAAATCTCTTAAAGTTTATAATTAAAACAAAAAAAAAAACATGTATGTAATTGCAAATATAAAATTTCTCCGAAATTTTGATAATGTGCTTTTTGCCATATGCTTGCAGCCAACAACATAACTGTAATAGAACCAAACACTTTATATCTGGACGAGAAACCACCAAAAATTGTTAAAACAAGGATAAAAACAAAATATAAAAGATCCGCTAAAAAGGCTAAAGGCAAAAAGAATTTCAAACAAAAACCCGCATTGACTTCACGAAAACGATCAACTAAAATAAACCAAGATAAAGTTGTTAAAGAAGAATTGTGTCCAATTGAAAAAATTGACCCAAACGATCCATTGTTTACTTCAAATCTTGAAATAAAAAGTGAACAGGATGACGAGAATCGAAATGTAAGCATTGCATACGACTGTGAAACTGAATTGCGTGAAGTTGATGACGATTATGATGAAGACGATGAGCAGGATTATAACTATGAACATGATGTAAATGAAAGTAAATCGGACATAAGCGATGAAGAGTATGATGACAATGATATTGATGAGGATGAAGATATAGAAGACGAACCCTTAATTATGCTTACGCGAAGTCAGCGCAAGCCTGGGAAGAAAATGCGAGAGCTGGATGATGATAAAATTAAAACTCCACGCAAGGTAGAGTGTCGTGAAATATGTAAGCAACACTGTACAGAGAAATTTACCGAGGAACAGCGAAAGGATATTTGTGATTATTATTGGAGTCTAAATAAAGATGATAGATTGGGCTTTATAAGAAAACATATAAGAGCCAGACGTTTGACCCGCATGAAACGTGTAAACGCCAATCGAATTCGTGGCAACAATTGTTGTTATTATCTCAAAACATACAAACCTGGCTGTGAAGAAACTCCTCCGGAAAACAGTGCTGATCTTATACGAGTTTGTCGTAAATTCTTCGAGGCCACTCTTTGCACCACAAGTCATTTTATTAAAAAAGCCAATGATGGTACAGTGTTGGAAATCGAGAAAGATTTACTTTTGCTGCGACAAATCAAATTGTCTAAGGAAAAGGCCAAGCAAGAGAGCCAAGAACCTAAACAAATTTTAGATCCTGAGACAGGAAATTTAATAACACTTGATCCAAAGTCCAATAAAATACCAAAAGCAAAAGCACAAACTCCTCAAGAAAAAAAGGAAAATAAGAAACGCATACGTCGAAAACCGGGCGATCCATTGCCCGAACGTTTTCCAAAGCCCATCAAATGTGCTATACGCTGCATATACAAATGTCACACAAAATTCACAGAGCAAGAACGCAAACAAATTTGCGACTTCTTCTGGTCTATGGACTATAAAAGACGAAAAGATTTCATTTTGGCCAACATTGAAATAAAGGATATTGAAACTCAAACGACACCAGATTTTCGTAAATCAAATCGTCCGCCTCGTACATATCAAACACGTTTCTTTTTGCGTACTGGCGGTATGCGCGGAGAAAACCTAAGAGTTTGTAAAGATTTTTATGAGAAAACTCTATGCATCAATCGTTGTTTCATTGAGAATGCCATACAATTTGCCGATAAAACAACAGGATGTTATACAGGCTCCGATAGGCGTGGATCGCACATGGCTCCTAATAAAATATCCGAGGAACGTAAACAAGTAGTATTGGATCACATCAATTCTTATCCTCTTTGGATACCAAACAAAAAAACTAAAACCAAATATTTACATCATTCCTTAAACATCAGAAAAATGTATGAAGCCTACAAAGAGAAATGTTTGTCGGAGAAAACAGATTATGTTTCCAACCAATATTATTACAATACCTTTCATGCCAATTTCAATTTATTATTCCTAGCGAATCCACAACCTAGAAAAGGATGGGGTCTTCAAAAGGCAAATCCCAATATATCTCATTATACGGGCGATGAACCTGGAGGATTTTGGATAAATAGCAAAGGGAAAAAACTAAATGTAAATGAAGTTAATCTTGGACAAAGCTTAAGTATCAGTCAACAAAATTCCACTGAAGAAGTTTCGGAAGCAACATCTTTTGCATCTGGAAGTGCTGTCGCATCACAGGCAATAAATGTTGTCAATCCTACTTCTCTAATGCCACTCAATTCCACAGGAAATCAAGCACCATTGCTTACAGTGGTTAGATCGGATTTTAATCCAGCTCTTTATGCAAATTATCCACAAGATTCCATAAATATGTTTAGAATGCTTTAATTTAATAAATTTTAAGAAGGTTTTTCTTAAATAATAATACAAATAATACAAATGAGTTAAAATTTCTTATTTCCTAAGAATCTAGACAATTTTCAACTATTACTTATAGTAGTAGGAAGAGTTATAGTGAAAATATAGATAAGATTAGTTGAAAATTAAATGGATATTGACAATTTCATATTATGTTTTGTTAAAATACAAAGTTGCAATCACATTTAACAAATTACCAAAATAAACGAAAGTTTACTGCTTTTAAAAATTTCAGTTAATAAGAACACAAATTATAAAATACAAAATAACTCCGAAATTTTGATAATCTGCTTTTTGCCATATGCTTGCAGCCAACTACTTGACTGTATTAGAACCGAATATTCTATATCTGGAGGATAAACCGCCAAAAATTGTTAAACCTTCCAATAAGACAAGAATTAAAAAATCCAGCAAACGAAAAACTTTAAGAAAACGTTCAACTAAAATAAAACAGGATTATGTTATTAAAAAGGAATTGTGTATTTATAACAAACAACAAGAACAAATGGAAAATGATCCAAATGATCCCTTATACTCAGCAGCAAAAGTGGAAATAAAATCCGAGTTGGAAGATGAGAATCAAATTCAGCGCATCGAATACGACTGTGGAACCGATACAGTGGAAGATTATGATAATGGTGATGATGAAGATTATAATTATGAACATGACATCATTGATAATAAATTGGAAAGCAGTGATGAAGATGAGAAAGATGATGATGATGAGAAAGATGATGATGAACCTTTAATTATCCTTGCACGACGTAAGGGCAGACCTCGTAAGAAAATGCGAGATGAAGAAAATATTAAGGCTCCTCGCAGCGTTGTATGTAGAGCAATATGTAGGTTAAATTGCAACGAGAAGTTTACCGAGCAGGAGCGCATAAATATTTGTGATTATTATTGGAATTTAAACGAAGAGGGTAGAGTGGCTTTTATAAGAAAACATATAAAAGCCAGGCGTTTGACAAGTAAGCAACGTATCACACCCAATAGAAGTCGGGCCAACAACTGTTGTTGTTATCTTAAGCCTTATCAAATTGGCAGTCTTGAATCTACTCCAGAAGACTGCACTGATCTAATACGAGTATGTCGTAAATTCTTTGAAGCCACTCTTTGCACGACTAGTAAATTTATTAAAAATGCCAATAATGGTATTGTATTAGAAATAGAAAAAGAATTACAGCAGCTGGCACAAATAAAGTTAGATAAGGAAAAAGAAAAGGAGAAATGCCAAGAACCTCAGCAAATTTTAGATCCAGAAACTGGTAACTTAATCACTTTCAAACCTAGAGCAAAACCTGATAATTCATCTCTAGATACAAAAGAAAAAAAGACACGCAAACGTCGAAAACCAGAAGTTGTCAAGCCCGAACATATTCCAAAGCCTATCAAATGTGCCGAGCGCTGTATATTTAAATGTCATACAAACTTCACTGAGGAAGAACGAAAAGAAATTTGCGACTTTTTCTGGTCTTTGGACTTCAAAAGGCGCAAAGACTTCGTTTTGGCCTGTATAGAAGTTAAAGACATAGTGGCTCAAACAACACCAGACTTTCGTAAGACAAATCGACCGCCCCGTACTTATCAAATACATTACTTTATGCGTTCTGGAGGCAAGCGTGGCGAAAACTTCAGAGTTTGTAAAGATTTTTATACCAAAACTCTGTGTATATCTAGTCATTTTATCGAAAACGCTATACAGTTTGCTGATAAAACAACGGGTTATTACATAGGCACTGATAGGCGCGGTGTTCAAATTCCTCATAACAAAAAATCGGATGCATGTAAACAGACCGTATTGGATCAAATTGCATCGTATCCTCTTTGGATACCAAATAAAAAAACAAAAACGAGATATCTGCATCATTCGTTGACTATAAAGAAAATGTATGATGCCTACAAAGACCAACGTGTGGCAGAGAACAAAGATTATGTCTCCACTTGCTTCTACTATAAAACATTTCATGACAATTTCAATTTATTATTCTTAGCGTATCCACATCCTAAAAAGGGAAGCGCTTCACAAAAAGGGAACCCAAATATATCGCATTATACAGGTGAAGAACCTGGAGGATGTTGGATTGATAGCAAAGGCAATAAGCTTGATATACGAAGAATTGATCCCGCGCAAAGTTTAAATACTAGTGAAAGGTTTTTACGTTTGAATATTTCTGAAAATACATCGTTATCTAATCCATATAACCCTAAAACTTTTGCATCCCATGGTAGACAAAATGTTATTAATCCTGATTCTTTAATGTCTTTTAATTCAACAGTCAATCAAACATTACCAGTTACGGTAGTTAGATCGGATTTTAATACAAATTTAACACAAGATTCCATAAACATGTTAACAATGTTTTAAGTTTTTTTTAAGTTAAGTTGATTTTCAATAAATTTTAAAATGTTTTTCAAATTCTCTTAATATATTTTAATAAATTATGATTACTGTTATAAAAACTACTTTTAAATTAATACTTTGGATTGAAACTGATTTTTATAAAAGTTGTAAAAATTTAAAATTGTTGAAATAATTTGAAATATTGATGAAGAAATGTAATTCAATGTTTTTTGTTTTAGTAAAAAGCAAAAGTTTTAAATGTTCAGCAAAAAAAAAAAAACAAATTTATATATCTTCGAGATTTTGATATTGGTCTTTTTGCCATATGCTTGCAGC